CTTCCGATCCACTGTGATTGATATTTAGAGGGATGAAGGGGGTTGAATCAAGGGTGGTTGCAAAGGATATTTTTCTTTTCTCAAGCATATTTCCTTTTCACTTATTAACTCGATAATATTAGTAATTAATCAATTTCAATCAATAAATTACATGTTTATTAATGATAACTTATTGATAAATTATAATAATGAAATGATCAATCACTTATTGACTGTCGGTCATACTAATTAACTACTGAAAAATGATCATTTTGCTAGAATAAAAAAAAAAAGCTCAGCAATTTATTTAAAAAACAAAAAAAAAGTATGGCCATTTATTTTAAAAAAAGGTTAGAAAACAGTTATTTACATGGTTTCCCTTTAATATTATAATTTTGAATTGGTAAAATAGTAAATATAGTTTAACCATTTTCTTTTCCATCATTCTTATTTTATATCCTTCGTCTTTTTTCTCTCCATCTTATTTTCTCTATGTTTCCCTCCTACCGAACAGTAAAATTCATAATTCGAATCCGACCTAAGTTCAAATTAATATTTGGTAAAGCCACCAATTCTCGAATCAATCATTTAAATTGAAAATCTATATTCTAAAATTTTAAACCTCAAAATCTAGATTCATCACCCACTAAATTCTAACAATGCCAACCTTTCTACTACAGTTCTTTTCTATGTAATTCATAATGAAAAGAGGAATAAATCTCCATCCATATTACATATTAAAATGTCATTTACTAATAAGATTTTCTAAGGTTTGTTGTAAAAGTCTAATGACATTTTTCAACACTTTACCTAAACGCAATTTTAATTTTATTCTTAGTTTAAATTACAATTTATTTGTGTATCTAAACTTCTCCATGCATATTACGTATTAAAATGTCATTTACCAACAAGATTTTATAAGATTTGTAGTAAAAGTCAAAAGGAATTTTCTCATGTAGTTTTATTTTTTTAACCGTTTTCAGTCGTCAGATCTACATCAGAAATTATTTATTATGTATATTTTTTCAATCTCATTTAATTTTGACCAAAATTAAAAATTAAAAATTGATCTTATCGATAAGATGACCTACCATAGCAGTCATCTAATGACATTTTTCAACCTCTTATCTAAACACAAATATGATTTTATTTTCAGTTAAATTATATATTTTTCAGTTCGACTCACCCAGTCCAAATCACTATACAATACTGAACGGACAGGGTCATAGTTGTCATTTTCAGAATTTAACGAATCAAATCACGCCACTAAAAACGACCGCATTTGTCGCGAAAATTCGCATAAATAGGGTGTCGTTTTCTTTTTACTCTCCTACGTTTCGCTTCTTTTTTATGCATCTCAGAACAGACAGAGAGAAGCCATTCAAATAAAATAAAAATAAAAATAAGAAACACGCAGAAGTCACAAGTTCAGAACTTCATATCAGATTGTCAAGAGTTCTTAAAACGAAACACAAAAATCAGATTGTACGCAAAGCATTCGTACGTCTCCTAATCTTTTCCGTTCTTTTTTATTTCCTTTAAATCCATTGAATTTCGTTTGTTTCTATTGTTTATAATTTTCTCCTTTTTCCTGTTTTTCATTGTCGTCAAGATATATATATATATATATTAGTTCATTTTATCTTTCCTTTTGCATTTATAACATCTGGGACGATTTTATTCTTTTTTTTTTTGGGCTTTCTCAGAGCTGCAATTCACCACTAATTACGTAATTGAGCTGAGTCTTGAGAATATTTGTGTTTTAATTAAAGATTACGGGTTTGTTTTTATCTGGGTTTTGATCCTTTTGGGTGCTTCTGCTGCTAATTTACGTGAAATTGTAAAAAAATAAAAATAATAATAAGAGTAACTTTTATCTTTCTGGGTTTTGTTTCTAATAAAAAAAAAAAGCTAATCCTTTTGGGTAGATAATCTCTTTTGCAATGCTGATATTTGTTCTAGCTGTATAATTGATTTTAATTTGAGAATTTCTTAATGTGTCTCTCTATCAAAGACTAGGAGGGAAGACGTTGCTAATTTTCCCCCCTTTTAATGGGAAGATACATTTTCTTTTCTTGTTTCAATAAAATATAATTCATTGTTTTATGATTTCTGATTCATAACTTGATGAAAAATTTATGAAGCTGATTCCTTTTCTAATAACGTTTAATGAGTCCGGACTTTTTAATAATCATGGAAGTTAATTTTAATCTGAAACTCAAAAAGTTATGTTCTACAAGCGCCTTTTGGATTTCTTGGGAACTGTTCTATCAGTTCTTAAAAAATTCAGGGAGAAGCTGGAGGTCTTAAATTTTCTGTATTATATTCCAAATATTTTAGAACCATAAATTTCTGTACTGTCTAGTTGTACAGTCAAACTGAGAACACAGGAAACAAATTTGCAGATTGTTAGTCCACCTCTTATTTTGCACATGGCGTATTCAAATCAAAAATTATGAAGCAATGGAGTTTACACATACAAATATATAAATGTGTATGTATGTATGTATATGCATAGTTGTCTTTCATGCTCATATCCTTGGACTAGGTAGAAACATCTAGCAAAGCTACTCTGAGTGTTTGTGGAAACCAAACTGCCATGCTAATTGTTCCCATCTGTCAGATTCTTATACATTGATGTTCGGTCTGGTGGAAAATCATGCTATTGAACTGAACTTGACTCATGGATGTTTGTCTTCTATTTTGCTTCTGCTAATGATTATGATTCCTTTCCAAAGATTAGTTTCTGATGATTAGATTACGTGAGGTGAATTAGTAGATGTTGATTCTGATCATTGTTTGTTAGGAAACAAATAATTGTCGTTAAATTCTTTTACTTTAATTGGTTATGTGAAGGACACAAATTGCTGTTAGTCTGACAATAGGTTTAACACTGATTGATAGATAATAGGATCGTGCTGCAGCTACATTATGGGCTCGGTGTTTAGTTCACAAGGAAAGCAACCCCTTTTCTCTTTTGGAGTAATCTCCGATGTCCAGCATGCTGATGTCCCTGACGGTCGCTCTTTTGTTGGTGTTCCACGGTATTATCGACATAGCATTCTTGTCTTACAAAGGGCAGTTCAGAAATGGAACAACCACAAGAAGCATAAATTTGTTTTAAATTTTGGGGATATTGTTGACGGCTTTTGCCCACGACACCAATCCTTAAATACAGTAAGAAAAGTTGTTGCAGAATTTGAGAAGTTTGATGGCCCTGTCTATCATATGATTGGCAATCACTGCCTCTATAATCTTCCTCGCAACAAGTTACTTCCGATGCTGAAGATTCCAAGTGATGATGGTCGTGCTTACTACGATTTTTCCCCAACCCCGGAGTTCAGATTTGTTGTCTTGGATGGCTATGACATCAGTGCAATCGGTTGGCCCGAAGATCATCCCAATACATTGGAGGCTGTGAAGTTCCTCCAAGAGAAGAATCCAAATACAGAGAAGAACAGTCCGGAGGGACTTGTGGGCCTCCAGAGAAGGTTCCTCAAGTTTAATGGAGCTGTGGGGAAAGAACAACTAAAATGGTTGGATGGCATCCTTCAGGAAGCAACAGAGATGAGACAAAACGTAGTGATATGTTGCCATCTGCCTTTGGATCCCGGTGCAACGTCTAAGGAAGCACTTCTGTGGAATTACGACGAAGTAATGAACGTGATACACAGTTACAACTGTGTAAAGGCTTGCCTTGCTGGACATGATCACAAAGGCGGGCATTCAATCGATTCCCACGGCGTACACCACAGAGTTCTTGAAGCCGCTCTTGAGTGCCCCCCCGGGACGGATGGTTTCGGCTATGTGAATGTTTACAATGACAGACTATCACTTATTGGTACTGACCGTATGGAAAGTACTGAATTGCATTTCAATCTTCAAGCAGACCTTCGACAAAATTTGGCAAAGTAGGCAAGTTTCCAATGTCCATATTCTCTAGGTACAAGAGGTTATCTCTTTTCTTAACTCACCCATTGTTCTTGCAAAGGACTGCCTTTGTCCTTAAAGAGTATTGGAATAAAATAACTTAAAACTGTTCTAGATGCTTTTTATAAAATTGCCTTTCTCAAGCAGTTTTGGACTTCGGATACTTCTCAAATTTAAACTCTTAACATCAGCTAGTAATACGTTGATACAAGCACGTTGCAGTAAACAAACTGTAATTTAATCTGTCCAACAATCCAACGACCCGCTAAAGAAAAGGGAGTTCCTCCAATAGGACTAAAAAAATGAAATAACGTTAATTATTTGCTTTCAGCCGTTTGATTTGTATCGGAAACTATCTATGCTGCATAATTTTTCAATATGATATGATTTTGATCAGATTAAACAGTTATAAACTGGCATTACTGATAGGGAGGCCCTAGTAGAGAAATCTCTAAAGAAAATTATAAAGTTGTATATTTGACTTTAGCATCAGTTCTTGATTATTAAATTTCCTGATGTCATGAGTGTTTTGGCTAACAACTCGCCTGATATTTTGGTAGATATTTTGATTAACAATTTCATTATTTACTTCTTTTTTAGAGTGACATTTTCTCCATTATGAAATTGTATAAATGATGAAAGCATTTCCCGCCCTTGTATTCATATAATATATATATTGATCTCAGCATGTTAATTACAATTAATGGTGTAGTTTTAGCGGCTACAAGAGGTAAACTCAAGTGGTTGAGTGCGTGAAATGTGTATGTCCATGAGAGTTCGAACATTGGTAGTTTCATTTCTTAAGTAGAAGCCACAAGTCCCACATTATATTAATATATATATATATATATATATTAGTGGGTAATCTTAGAACTTTTAGAAAGTTTTTCGTGAAAATGCTTTTATCGAAGGTTGTTTGGTGGAAAGATTATTTACATGTCAATTTACAGAATCGGGTAGAATGGCATTTTGGCATAAAGCATCGCCATCAAGTAGCCATTTTCAGCATTTGTATGGAAACCTCAACCTCAAGGAAACTATTGCTCTTTGTTCGGAAGTTCTCTGAGCATTTAAAACAACCCAATTCTGGATGGTAAAATTCCACAGTAGGACATTAAAAAAATACTATTAATAGGATGTATACAAACTATCGATGATACAATTCTAAACTGTTAGAATAAAATGTGATCATTCTATAATACATTTCATCGATAAAGTATTCTGTTTTTTTTTTTTTTAAGAATCTCCAGTAATTGACATTAATAGAGAAAGGTTATCCCACCCATGTCAATTTGCAGAATCGGGTAGAATGGCAATTTGGCATAAAACATCAGCCATCAAGTAGTCATTTTCAGCATTTGTGTGGAAACCTCAACCTTAAGGAAACTATTGCTCTTTGTTCGGAAGTTCTCTGAGCATCTAAAACAACTTAATTTTGGTTGGTAAAATTCCATCGTAGGACATTAAAACAAAACTATTGATAATACAAACTATTGATGATATAATTCTAAACTGTTAGAATAAAATGTGATCATTCTGGAATATATTTCATCGATAATGTTTTTTTTTCCAAAGAATCTCCAGCAATTAACATTAATACAGAAGGGCTATCTCACATCATTCTTTTCTTGTTTCCAAACGATGGAGATTGTTTTAGTGCCCGTTCGATTGGCTTAAAAATACCTATTTTTGGCTTATTTAGTTTAAAAGCCGCTTTTGTATCTGTTTGGATGGACAATTTTAAAGTACATTTGACTTTTTCAAAAATGTTTGGAACACGATATCTCCATAGTGCTTATGAAAACTTTTTTATTTACACTTTTAACCTTTTATTTGTGAGCAACAAATTAAATATCTCATCCATATTATTTTATTACATTACTTTTATAATAATAAGTGTTTTGACTTTTTTACCCAAACAGGTTCAAAAGCTATTCTTAAATATAAAAATACATTTTCAAGAACTATCCAAACACTAATAAAAAAACATCAACTTATGCTTAGAGATGTCAATCGTGCCGTGTCATGTCGGCCCGACCCATGATCGGTTAGGCTCATTCATGCTTCATACCGTGTTTGGCCTGGTGCATTAAAATTTCGTATCGTGCTAGCTTAAAATTTAAAATCATAGGCTCGGCCCAGCCCATGGGCCAAAGCCCATACGTGCTCGTGCCCGTGTTGTGTTTGTTCTCGTGCCTGTGCCATGCTCATGCCTTTATCGTGCTTGGCACAATAAATTTTTAGGCCGATCAATTGAACCATTGAATTACCTAAAATTATTATTTTTAAATAGTTTTAAATAAAAAATAATTCAAATGAAAATATGATTTCAGGTAACTCGAATTAAAAAGTCGAATCAACGAATTAAACGAGTCTTAAAAAGTAACAGCGTGACAGAAAGAAAAAAATTATTACAAAATAAAAGTTCTTATTTCTTCAGAGCTTAACAAAAGGTGAAAATTCCAACTTGCCCATCTTGGAATTTGGACCGCCCAAGTTCATGGTACACCTTAGATAATTACTCCCTCAGACCCATCTTTCACAAAGTCTTTTTTTTTTCCTAACAAATGTCACATTACTAGACAATATACAATAACATGTCAAACCCTCAAAACAAATATTTTGAGTGATCCACAAGCAATAGTAATGTCTAGCATGTACTTTAGCTCTTAATATACCACATATGATATACAAACAAAAAAAAAAAAACAAAAAGAAAAAACCTCAGAAACATGCTTAGCGTATAACAACCTCGAAGGAAGTGAGATTAACCATTTCACTTCTGTTGGGACGATTTTGCCCTTCTCTTCTCAGCGTAAAAGAACCCAAACAGGGATACAACAGAGAAAGCACTGAAGCAAATAGAGGCAATGTCGAGTGACGCGTGGCGTCCAGTGATTGCTTTGATGTCAAATAAGTTGGTGGTTTTCTTGCCATCGGTTGATTGGCCATAAGCCACCGGATCGTCGTTGGCGTCGTAAGCATAGGCGCGTACAAAGTACGTAGCCAAGGGCACGTAACGCTCCACGGTCCACTCAAAGCTTTGGTCAGAGGCGGTGTAGGCGCGAGAGACGATTTTGAACTGGCAGGTCTTGTCCTTGGAGAGATCCTCCTTGGTTTTCCTCCACGCGCGGTCCTCTTGGCTGATTGGCGCGTAGCATAGTTTGACTTTTATGGTCTTATAAGCAGAGTCAGTGCCAGCCGGGAACGTCTTGTTTAGACCCCAGTTCACTGTGATTTTGTCTTCACCAGCTTTGAGAACTGCAAATTCAATCACGTTACTTGTAGCACGAATTATAGAAGCTTTTCCAAGAAAAAAAAAACATACTAAAATCCGATGAATTGGAAAAAGAAAAAAATGACAGGTAAAACTTATATGGCAATTGAAATTCCAAACGGCATATTTTGAGCTCGTTTAGGATTTGATTTTAACGTCTCTAAAAGGTTAAAATCCTTAAAAATAAATAAATAAATACACCTCCACAATCACTCTAAGAATTATTTTTTTTTTCATTTGGTAGAAAAATAGTTGGTATAGAAATATTAAAAAGATTAAAGGACAAAGCTGCTACAAAAATTCCAACAAAATTGATGATTCAGCGCTGCAAATTCAAACAATGAAAAAAAATATTTTTTAAAATATTTGATTTATGAATTTAAAATCATAATTTATAATTTTAATTTTTAAAATTTAAACTTTTATAACAAAAAAATACTGTATAAAATCAAAAACCAACGACGAATTTTTTAAACAAACTATCCCTTAAAATTAAATGAATAAATAAATAAAGAAAGAAATGACTAGGGGAAAACAGTTTGTATAAAATCAATTGAATTGGACAAGATTTTATAGGTGAAATCTTTATATGGACAACTAAATTCTAGGTGACACAGAAATTGTAAGGAAGAGCAAAAAATTCGGAGAAAAAAAATTGATGAGAGAGAGAGAGAGAGAGATACCCTGTCCTTCTTTTGGTGAAGCAGTGACAACAAGAGTCCGTTTGAGGGAAGAAAAGAGGACCTTTCCAAAAGAGATTTCTGCAAAGCATGACAGAAGAAGAAGAAGAAGAAGAAGTGAAGCAGGGTAAACAAGCCCGCGTTTCGCCATTTGATATCTTTTGCCTTAGAGAGAGAAAGAAAAGTCTAAAAGAGAGAGATGAATCTCTTGGTGAATATTCAAAGTGATTTGAATGTGATATTGGTGATCAAACTGATAAACGTCGGCTTAGTTATATAGACGGCCCAAAATAATAGAAAATTGAGTAATTTTAATAAATATCTTTTAAAATAATATCATAAAGAATTTTAAGATCACATTGACTTATTAAATTTTACTCTCTTAAAGTAAATAATTTAATAAATTATTATAAAAATTTAACAGATGTCATTGATGGTGAGTCTTCAGTCACTTAATTTAAGAAATTATTATCTAAAATTTAATAAATTATTATTTATAATTTAATTAACTATTATCAAAAGGGTACTGTAAAAGCGCTAAACGACCCAAAAAAACAAACAACAAGGAGATTGCCAAATACATACAAATAAAGGGGGGATTAACTGGAATGGCCCTATGGCATTACGAAAGGGTGGGGTTACGAGGACTTTTTTGAAATATAATAAAAGGAAGTTTTGGGCTGGTTGTGTTTGGGGTTTTGTTTATTGATTGACTTTGCTCATGTATGATCCTTTTTCTAATAAAAAAAAAATGGAGTTTTGTTTCTTTGTCCAAAGTCTAGATCACTACATCTATTTTTGTTAAGTATGTTGATCCTATCTCGGCCATTAAATTAGGTCTAGAAACGCTTTAATCACCTTTTTTCTTTTTGAGTTTTTATTGATGATTTTTTGTAGAGCCTAAATCTCAACCATTGAATTAGGTCAAAAAGGCTATAATTGCTTTTTTTTCGTTTGACAATTTTTTTAGTCGTTGATGTCACTATGGTAGGTTTTGAAAAAAAAAAAATTACGAGTAGTTCATTGTTTTTAACCGTAATCACAAACTGCATGTTCATATATATTTTAGTGATTTGATCATATCTAACCATTAGAAACAAGTAAACAAACATTACCAATAGGAGGCTCCCGCTCTATCGTGAAAGGAACTTTTCTTTTCCTCCTTATGTAACGACTGAATATAATGTATGAGACTGTCTCTAATAGGCCATCATATTGATAGGACTAGTTTTCTGATTGTTAAATTTGGTCAAAATTAAATGAGATTAAAAAATATATAAAATAAATAATTTTTAATACATATTTAACGATTAAAAAAATAAAACTACCGATAGTTTTATTTTTTTAATCTTACAGGAGAAACTCCTTATAATGTACATACACCCCATAAAATACTGTATTTGTAAATCTCCCGTTATCTACGCATGCATTAGTTTTTCATTTTTCTTGTACATTTTTTTGGCATTGTTTTTGTCCCCTAATGTCATGTAAAGGGCAAGCGTACGGACACAAGGAACTGGGAGTCATGATGAAGCTACTCGATTAGGAAGGGAAGAAAAAGTCATACTTGTTATGTATTTAAATATTTGATAATTGATCGCACACACCTTCAAAAAAAAAAAAAAATTTTGATAGTACACGTATCAAGTGGGTTTTCTGTTAATTAATTAGTTAATGTATTATCATTTTTTTTTTCTTAATTCATTCTATTCATCTTACAAGTTGTCCTCGATATCGCCAACACGATCGGAGTATTTTATACTGATCAGAAGACCTTGCAAGTTGGGAAAGCCAACCATTGACGAGCTGCTACTCTAATCCGTATGATAATTAACTTCAGTTTCAAATGTTTGAAGATAATACATATAATATTGATTAGTTGGTGTTAGAGAATGATCCTCTGTTATATGGTGCAGGATATATATGAGCCTTTGATGTATTTTCCTGATTTTGTTTATCACTGTACACGTGTTAGTTAGTACTAGCCTAATTTATAAATTAATTCTTCATAATCCCTTTGCTTTAATAAGCTGATAATATTGCGGCGCTATTAAGGTTTCTCTCTCTTCTTCTCTCGCTTTCCTTGCACCGTCTCAACAGTTTTCAAAGGGCCGGAGTCCGGTTCCGCCCTTGGGTTAGGCTCCGCACTCCCGGCCACATGGTTAGGTCTTTGGGTGTCACAAGTTCGTTGTCTCCAGTGAGATTTTGACAGGGCCAGAAGTGGAGGAGTCGTGAGTGTTTGGGGGGTGCTCTCCGGCGCGTGTTTGGTGTCCTTTGAAATTGTCCAGTCGTTGGCACATTTATGCCCAAGGGGGTTTGTTCCCCTCATCTTGGTGCTCCTTTGGAGGGGACCCATGCATGGTATGGCAGTCAGAGTTGGTGGTTGGAGCGATGTAGTTGTGGTTCTCTCTGTGGTGGGGCTCGTTCGCTTTCCTGTAGTTGCTGGTGACGGTGCGTGATCTCTCTACTTTGGAGAATCGACCATGTTCTGACTTCGTTCTGGCTTGCTTGCTATGTTGCAGTCCCCTCTTTCACCTTTGGCAGTTGTTGGCTTGTAATTGGAGATCTGGTTGGTGTCACTTGGGCTTTTTTCTATTTTGTGTTAGTCAGATAAGGGCGTTGATGTTTTCACCGATTAGTTTTAGCGTGTGCTGGCTATTTTATTAATTTTTTGTTGTAATAACGGAGGTGGTCTCCCCACCTTCCATTGTAGGCTTTTTGTCTAATCCGTAAGTATGTTTCTTTTGTGGTGTTGTGGTAGGCCTTGGTGTCTTTAGTCTCTTAATCCTGTTTGACCGGAGTTACCCACCGACTTTAGTGGTGTGTTTGAAAGAGCTATATATTGCTCGAATTGTTGTATGCCTCTTCAATTTTCACTTGTCGGAACTCGGTACACATATTATCCCCTTGAGTGTTTCAATCGAATTTACGGGTGATTCCAGTCTATGAATGGGGTTGAGTCGCTAATTGCGTTGAGGTCTCTTACGTCTGAATTAATGTTTGTAATTCTCTGATTTAGAATGCAATTTCCTTTTTTTTTTTTCTTAAAAAAAGCTGATAATATTCAATAGAAAGAAGTTCCAGCAACTCTTTAATTGTAGCAAGGTAATGAAATTGAAAAGATAAGATCAGTGTTTATGAAAAAAAAAGATCAATTGAGCATTGGTTGCAGCTACAATAATTAGTTGGCCTCTTTACATGTAAAGTTGAGATTAATATAGCGAAGTTTTTAATATATTACAAAATTAAATAATAGAATTCAATATCATTAAAACAATAATTATATCATTATATATTATAAAATACGACATCATTATATAATTAATAATTACAATAACATGTTTGTTATTTTTATAATAGTTTGAAAACTTTTCTAAATACCAATTTCAAATATGAAATTTTTTCGTATGGTATATTATCTTTATGATTGAGAGCAAACTGTAAAGATCAACTGTAAAAAAAAAAAAAAAACGAGCCACTGCAACAGATTTTTAGAATGTGTCTTAAAAATTATACAGAATTTCTCTAGTAGTATTAAAAAAAATTACTTATAGTTTTTTAATTTTTTGAATGTTATATCCGTATTATAAATTATTTATTATGTATAATTTTTTAATTTAATATAATTGTAATCAAATTTAATTGTTAACAACTGACGCTATTAGGTTCCGTTTACTTCACTGATTCGAGTTTTACTACAGTAAAAAGCTCTCACAAACAATCAGATCTAACCTTTTGACTATAGTAAAAAGCTATCACATAAAGTCACATTTCAACTAAGTAACCTGACTTAGTGCATAAAGTCTCAAAATTATGGGCTCATTCACTTCGCGGATTCGAGTTTTCAATTCGAGCTGAGATATGACATTTTTTTAGAGCTTTTCACTATAGTAGAAAAAGTTAGATGTGACATTTTCTGAGAACTTTTTACTGTAAAAATCTAAAATTGAAAACTCAAATCGGTAAAATGAACGATATTATATTTGCCCTAACTTGTGGCTTTTAATTCGAAGATCCCAAACAAACTGGGCCCCATTCACTTCGTTAATTCGAGTTTAGAATTCGAGTTGAGATGTGATTTTATGTGAGAGCTTTTTACTGTAACAAAAAAGTTAGATGTGATTGTTTGTGAGAGCTTTTTACTGTAAAAAAACTTGAATTCTACGAATCAGCGAAGTGAACGAGGCCGACCTAGGTAGTCGTACAAGTTCTAAGGGACTAGTTTGCAATTTGAAAAATGCTCCGAGACATTGGTGATAGTACTAATAAATTGTCCTATGTTATAAGACCTATTTTTTTTTTTGTTAGTGAGGAGAGAGCACCATCAGTGCCAAATAACATTAGGGTCCGTTCACTTCGTTGATTCGAGTTTATAATTCGAGTTGAGATGTGATTTTATGTGAGAGCTTTTTACTGTAGCAAAAAGTTAGATGTGATTGTTTGTGAGAGCTTTTTACTGTAGCAAAACTCGAATTCTAAACTCGAATTGGTGAAGTGAACGGGGCTTAAGTTTCGTTCATTAAACTCTATAATGAGTAATTAGTGCCTAACTATAATTAAGTGCATGCTTGCCTCTTTTGTTTGAATTAGCGACACTCTATAATAGCAAGGAGAAGCGTGTGGGTGTTGTATTCGAGCTACATTTATGTATAAGTCCTGTTTATTTCACCGATGCAAGTTTAAAATTTGATTTTTATTACAATAAAATTTTTTTAAAAATAATCACATTTATTATAATAAAAAATTTTCATATAAAATTATATCTCAACTCAAATTAAAAATTTAAATCAATAAATTAAACGCACCAGAGTACATATAAGGAGGGAAGATCAAGATCGTACGATATGTTTATGTACCTGTGGGGCATGGGCCAGGGCCCAGTAGTGATCTCTAACGTGTGTCAAGGTTGTAGTAATGTACGGGTATGAAATACAGTACAAAGTGTATAGATAGTACTGTTGGCTGTTAGTCATAACTATTAGTTGTGATTGTCTAAAATCTAATCTTGTATAAGAATATGTTTATGGGTGTGTCTGTGTTTTTTTTTCCCTACTAAACAGTTTATATGTGTGTGTGTTTATTGAGGAATTATATGTACCTGGCTTAAAAAAAAAAAAAACACAGAGAAAAAGAAAAACTCATTTCAAGTTTGCTTTTAAGTTACGTTTATCAAATTCTTTCAAAGTTTCATGTACTGATTCTTTGATCATTGGATGATCTTATTTTCCCCTAATGCTTGCTAAGTATTTTCCATTATATGCAGATGATATATATATATATTTTTGGTAAAAATATATTGATGAAATGTTGAATCTATATATATCATGTCTTATATACGTGCATGTTGAGTCTTTCGAATTACAACCTAAAAGGTAACCTATTAAGAGCAATAATCCAATCCCTTTTAAGTAAAATTAACATGCATGCTATTATTTTAATGTTACAAAACACATGTGCTATCTTTAATTTCACATCATCTACTTACACAGATACTATATCCATTAATATTAAAAATATTAATACAACAATATTCAGTCTCTTAAAAATTTATTGATTGATACAATTTAGAGCCACGGTAAATCAAACATGCACTCATCTTTAGGAATGTAAATGGGGCAGGCTGGTGAGGGTATTTGCAGCCTCGTTCTGCCCAACATCCTGACCAAGAACCTAGCTAATATATGAAAATAATAAGAATTTATACCTTGCAGTAGAGCTGAAGAAGAAGAAGAGGAGAGAGAGTTATAGACCCTGTTCATTTTACCGATTCGACTTTAGAATTCGAGTTTTACTATACTAAAAAGCTTTTAAAAACAGTTACATCTAACTTTTTTACTATAGTAAAAAGCTCACACATAAAGTTATATCTCAACTCGAATTAAAAATTCGAATCGGGACGGGTTTGAGTGTCTCATTCTATCTTGTCCATTAAATGGGACTTGGCATGCGAACCGCTTGTAATGAGGCACTTCGTGACAGGCACAATTTTGCCACACTCCTTTTACATCCCTAATGGAGTCATGTAGTTCAGAAAATTACTATTTGTTCAATTCAACCGTTGGAGAGCATACTAAACAAGGAAACCTGCATATACATTCCCTTTTACATTACAACACTACCAACTTACTAATTATTTATCTTAGAGTTTATAGCGTCCTGTTACAATAAGCTTAGCATCATCCATTCCACCAACTTTTTTTAGGCGTTCAATATTTATAATCTGGTACACCTAATCTTTTGGAAGAGATATAGACAAGACAAACTTTGGTCTTTTAGTTCAAAGTAATGTACCAAGCGGAAAATCTCTTAGAAAATTTCCCTATATAAAGGACTTGAATTCAGCCACACCAAAACCACCCCAAAACGCACATAACATCGTGAGTAAGACATGGAACACTTTGCCATAACTAGGTCTGTTCTCCTTCTCCTCTTCCTTGGCCTAACAACTCATCGTGGCAATTGCGAATCGCCGGATTGCACGCTAGTGAGTGTCAATCTGAGCGCACGCACAGATGTGCTGCGCATCAATGTCATCGGCAACCCGAGCCGTCAATATTGATTCTAACGGTGACTGCTCATAAAAATCATACGCGCGGTGCTTATATATGTATTTATCTATATATGATGTTATACATAACATATATATGTGTTATAATAAATGAATAAAATGCTGCAGTGAAGGGTAGCTCTCTAGCCTCTAGTGCTGTAAACATGTGTCGCTGCAGTACGATAGTACTCGAGCTGGAGAATCTAGCTATAACCGCATTGTTCCTTTATATGAATCGTGTGAATCTACGTTGTCCATTAGTTGCAATGACTATATATGTGCAAAGCTTCACCGCCTATCATATATGAAGCCCCTAATTATTCGAAATTACAGAAATGAAAACGCATGTATAATAACTAGGTTTTGATGGAAGTGACATGTTCCATATAACATTGACGTTAAAAATATATAAATAATAATTTGGATAACTAATTTCTTAGTATTTACAACAAAAGCGTTACATGAAATAAATATGTTATACTTTTTATTATTATATGTTACATGACAGTATGATTTTGTCGGTAAGACCTAAATAAATTTTAAGATGCTTTCTATTATTTTATTGGATGGATATACACTATAACAAACATTGACCAATAAAATAAATCTAGATGACTGAAGAAGAGTGAGGGGCAATGCCATTGGATGAGCATCAGGTGTCGGTTTAGTAGGCATTCACAATACTTTTTTAAAACAGGCAAATGATTTCTATAAACCAGCTGTCGTTTTGAGGGGCGTTTTTGAAAAAAAATTACCGCTAAAAATTTGAATTTTAACCATAAAACTTCAGTGGAAATTTTAAGTATAATTGTGGTGACGAAGTAGGTAAGTAGCATAGTTAAATATCCAAATTTCAAAAGTGGTATGCAACAAATTAATCAACGTTGTTACGAGGCAATCACAAGATTTTAATTGGACTTACATGCCTGTTTTTGTCTCCCAATTTTATTAATCATAATACTTTAGAATATTTTAACTGGTAATCTTTTTATGGTAAATATGGACTTACAAACAACTCCAAAAGCCTAATTTCACCTCAGGGCAAAAAAAAAAAAAAAAAAAAAAAAAAAAAAAAAAAAAAAAAAAAGCCTAATTTCACCGTTCCAATTTCAGTTATAGACAACGGAAAATACCCTTTGACCAATATAATCCTTATACTGAGTACTGGCGGTTGGATTGCCTGATTCTAATGGGTCGTACCATTCAGCAAGAAAAAATAAAAAAAACCAATACCAACTCGGAAATGACTCGTATAACCTCAAGTACTCTTTAACACACTAATTAATGCTAGGTAAATTTTTTAAACATGAAGGGTAAAACGGACCTTAAGAGTATTCCGGACATCGTCAAAGCTGTACGAGAATGAGAGAAAATCCGAAAATCTGATCTTAAACGAAAACATATGTTGTCTGTCTGTTAGTTGTGTAATTCGTATGCAAGACTTTTTGAATTTTTGAGATATCAGATTGCATTTTCCCCCCTCTAATTCCCAAATCTCAAAGCCCTAACCCTAAAACTCTCTCTCCTCACCTTTTTAAGGCCAATCCCCCGCCGTCGGCCGTCCACCGTCCGACGTTACTTGCTGCCGCACCGGAAGCCAGAATCTATTAGCCTGGGATTTGGTGAGACTCTTCGTTTTATCTTCTAATTTATGCGATTTCCCGAGCTTTTTACAGAGTAAATTCACCGAATACAGAGGATAATGATTAAGTTTTCTTCTGGTTTTGTTTGATTCAGGTTTTCGTGTGCTCTTTTTGTGATTTCGCATCCATCGGTGGTGGTCCTGGTGGATTCTCGGAGATCGGATAATTTGGTTTTTGAGGAAATTTGGTAATGGCGCTATATTAGTTTTTTTTTTTTTTAAAATTTTTTTTTTATGGTTTAGTTTATGATTGAATCAGTTGTGAAATCCGATATTTTGTTTAGATCTGTTAGGTTATGAATATGTTTGATTAATTCGTCTTTCTGGGTCTAAACTTTCACAAGTGAATGAGGAGTTTTTCAAGCATAATTTTACTATATTCTTGGTTTAGGGAAGCATTTTGCTGCTTCTTAAGGTCAATCATATAAATTTAATTCATGCTATCTGTTTCGGAGAAGATGGGAGGAGAATTATATAAGGCTCATTATTCATAACATATAAAAGTCCAAAGAATAGAGCTTAATTGGTAGAATTGGGAGTAAAAAAGAAAAATGGAAAAAAGTCAAAGGCTTGCCAGTTGTAAGGAGAAGCTCTTGAGACCGACTTATATTCGATGTCATATACATTGTGAAACTGAAAGATGCATTGTTTCTGGAGGAGGGGCATCAGTCAGGAGATTGTTGTCAAATAAACAAAAGGAGACAGTTGCGGCTTTACGCGACTGGTCTAACTGTGGCCTAAAGCTATGTTTTACCGTAGACTTAGGGGGAGGGGGGGTTTCTGAGTTATTTGGGGTTTTTAATCTTATATCCCAGCCCCTGTCACTCGATCCCTATATAACTCTATGCTTTGACTATAGTGCCTTTTATGTTGTTTCTTTTATTGTGTTTTAAATTTTGGTTTGAATGCATTTTTTGCAACATTTGAAGTTATAATTAATTTGTTATGCGCTATTTGTTTATTTATTGGCAGATTGACAGCAATGAACTGGGTTCAACAGAAAATCTACCTTTACAATGTCACTTTTGGGCTCTATATGTTAGATTGGTGGGAGCGTTGCCTGTTTAGTATCCTCTTTATGACATTTTTCCTTCACTAATGATCTTGTATTTGGTTTAGTGCTCATATACAAAGCAAGCTTAGATAAGTTATACCTCCTATAAGTACACATGCTACATGATTTATCTTTTTATCATATATTTGCTGCAATAGTTTATGCACCTGCTAGTTTCTTCCTTAATCTTTAACAGATACTTTGGTGGTGGTCTTGATGTGGTTCATTTTTTATAATGGATCGCGATATGCAGTTGAGTTCTCCAAGAGGTAACCTTAGATCCTTTATCTTCTCCACTTTATTTGCTTTATGTGGTTTGCTGATTAATGGTAGTTAGACCATTGTAATTGGGGTATGTAGTTTATTGCCTTCAGTCAGATGTATTAGAATTATTTCCAGCCTCCAACAACAGTTCTAGATTTGCGTCCATAAAAGGGTTGAAGATATGTTAGCCCTCTCTTTGTTGATATTTCAAATTTTTTACGATTGTGCATAAGTAAACTAACTCTTGGTTTGGTAGGGTTGGGATAATCAATACTTTTTATGTCTTCACATTTCAGAACACTTGAAATAGCTTCTTAGGATTTAGGAATCTGAAAAACTAAAAATCACGTTACTGTTCTCTAATTTGATATCTGCTTTGTGATCGATGCTTGGTTATGTAGTAGATAGATCTTTGAAACGCCATATTGGCTTCAAATTTGTGTGAATCTAAAACCAGAAACAGAAAAACAATGTAACTGTGTTTTAACATTCCATTGACCAAATGCAAATGTTCTGTTGTTTTTTGACCAAAATTCTTAGGCGTGGATAACAATATGTACACACACACACACACACACATTTGTATGAGTTGTTTCTTTGACTATCTGAAAGACTTTCTGCAGTACCTGAGTGTATGTCTTTCCCACAATCTCAGGCATCTGTGGTAAAATTCAGCAAGCTTAGCTTGAACCAGAAAAGGACGGATGGATTAGTGGCACCGATAGCTCGAGTTATGGTGCAACATGTTACTTTCTAATTTTCATAACTTATGAAAAAAGAAATTACATGTTTAACTAATAAATGTTGATGAGTTTTACTTCTTTTATCAATTAATTATTCTTCTTGAGGATTTTGGCAGCAACCCCAGTTATCCCATCTATTTTCTTTGTTTTCAGAAGAAAGATTCTAGTGCTTTGACCATTCTCCTCTTTCAGTGAAGCCTAAAGTAGTTCATATTGAAAAATACATAGCGAGACCTCAACGCGATCATGTAATTTATGTACTTGTTCTTGATCATGGAAGTGGAGTTATTTGATGTGTGGGGTATAGACTTCATGGGACCCTTCCCATCCTCATTTGGAAACCAGTACATTCTAGTGGCGGTCGTCTATGTCTCCAAATGGGTGAAAGTAGTTGCATGATCCACCAATGACTCCAAAATTGTGGTGCAATTTCTTCAGAAGAACATTTGCACATGCTTTGGCACCCCTAGAGCCATAATAAGTGATGAGGGGACACACTTCGGGAGCAAGTAATTTGAGCAATTCTTGAGAAAATATGGGGTGAAGCATAAGGTTACCACAGCTTATCATCCACAAACTAGTGGACAAGTGGAAGTTTCTAACAGGGAGATCAAGAGAATTCTTGAAAAAGTTGTTAATCCCTCAAGGAAGGATTGGTCGGCCAGGCTTGATGATGCTTTATGGGCATACCGAACAGCCTTTAAAACCTCTTTGGGAGCATCTCCATACATGTTTGTGTTTGGGAAGACTTGCCATCTACCAGTGGAACTTGAGCACAAAGCATATTGGGCTGTCATGAAGCTCAATCTTGACATACAGGCTGCTGGGAAAAAGAGGCTCATGCAACTGAATGAGTTGGAAGAATTTCGCTTACTTGCCTATGAAAATGCCAAGTTGAACAGGGAAAAGACCAAGAGATGGCATGACAGCAAAATACTCCCTTGAAAGTTTGAAGCAGGGCAAAGTGTGCTTTTTTTTTAATTCTAGGCTGAAATTCTTTCCAGGAAAGTTGAAATCACTATGGTCAGGGCCTTTTAAAGTTGCTGCAGTTTTTTCACATGGTGCAGTGGATCTTATTGAAGAAAATTTAGGAAGAAAGTTTAAGGTGAATGGCCAGTGATTAAAGCATTATTGGGGAGGTGAGATGAAGGAGAAGACTTCCTCTGCAGGTTGACTGTCTGCTTGAATCATCCGAGCAATGGTCGCCTTCGTGATGGGACCATGGGGCTTAAATTTTGTCTCATTAGGGGCAACCACAATCCCTTGCTCGATGCACAACTTGGTAATGAGCGACGAGAACCAAAGACCCCCTCGGCGATGACTCGCACAAATCACAATTTGCTCTCGAATTAAGGCTTCAATGTTTATGCCCTTTCCCTCAACAATAGAGAACAATAAGATTGCCTTGTCCTTGGCAACCGTATGATCGTGGGAGGAGAGCATAATCCGAGATTTAAGGAAATGATATCATATTTTTGGGTCGGGCTTCAAAAGTCGCCTAGGGAATATCATTGCACCCGGATCCGATTGAGTCCAACTTATTCCATTTTCACAAAGAATTGCCAGACTGAGCATCGTCGAGGTTTTCAACAAAGTCAGCATGATTGTCCTCAATGTTTTGCAGATTGTACAATTTGTTGATGGTATTCCCATCAATAGCAACTCGTTTGCCTCTGACATACACAGAATCAGGCTCATTAGCATCAAAGTTGGCGTAGAACTCCCTAACTAGAGGCATAACCACTGTTGGAGGATGTTGATAAAAGGCTTTCCATTCATTCCTTGTGATCACGAAATATATACATTCCGGATAGCCAAATGCTTGGTTCCTTTGTTAAACCAATCCCTTTTCGGAGCTGAGAGCTCGTTGGCATGTGATTTGAACATAGCGTTCCTCGGCTAAATCGGAAACAAATTTCATTATGCTCTCTTCAGCGTTGGGTTCTTGCCTACTCTAATCATTCTCAATCTACTCTTGTGTTCCTTACTCATTCTGAACCTGCTTTGTTTTTCCTTTTCAAGCCCTACTTTTCACTGGTGTTGTGAACTATATAGTTGACTGAAAATCAAAGAGGATAAACCGGGCTGTCTAGTTTTTATGCACAATCCACCCCACTCAACCTTAAAACTCTGATAATGCACTAACTACACCCAGATATCAGAGAGTATACAGGCTGGTTGCATTTATCAATATCAAGCTCAAAAGTAAAAGATTTGCAAACCTCAACTGAGACTCCCTGATCCGAGTGGGTGTTCTCTGTTTCAGTCCGAAATGACGGTGTAAGAGGCAGTGTAGACTCGACGGTGACTGGACGAGCGGATGGCCGCAAGCTCGCGGTGGCGGAGGTAGGACTCACGGCGGGATGGATGAAAATGAGAAAAAGAGATGTGGGGGAATGAAGGACCGAATGGTGTGGTGAGGTATGAGGGGATGATGATGACAGTGTGGTAGGGGAGGATTGGAGGTGGTTGTTTCAAGGTAGAGGGCGTGAGGTATGGGTGAATGATGAGGACGCACGGGCGTGAGGATGGTGGCAGTGGGAAGGAATGAGGGAAAATTGAGAAAATAGATGTTAGGACTTCTTTGGGTCGGACGGGTGGGGTTGGGCAAGTGGATTTATTTCTTTTGTGGTTAAGTGGATATAGAGAGGTTGGGCAATTTTTTTTTTTTTTTTTTTTTTTTTTTTTTTTTTTTTTAACTGTTCGTTAGTACCTTACCAATGTGATATTAGAGTAGGCTCGGTATCACACAAAATGTGATAGCAAATGTTGCAGCATTTTCTAACGCATTTTTTAACAGTCTGTTATCACAACACCTTCTGTGTTCACTGTTTTCAATAAGCTCAACTACACCATGTGGGAAAACTGCAGCAATTTTGAAAGGCCCTGACCAGCGTGAGTTCAACTTTCCTGGAAAGAGTTTCAGCCTGGAATTGAAAAGAAGCACACTTTGCCTTGCTTCAAACTTCCGAGAGAGTATTTTACTATCATGCCACCTCTTGGTCTTTTCCTTGTACAACTTGGCATTTTCATAGGCAAGTAAGCGAAATTTCTCCAACTCATTGAGTTGCATGAGCCTCTTTTCCCTAGGAGCCTATATGTCAAGATTAAGCTTCATGACAACCTAATATACTTTGTGCTCAAGTTTCACTGGTTGATGGCAAGCTTTTCCAAACACAAGCCGTATGGAGATGCTCCCAAATGGGTTTTAAAGGCTGTTCGGTATGCCCATAAAGCATCATTAAGCCTGGCCGGCCAATCATTTCTTGAGGGATTAACAACTTTTTCAAGAATTCTCTTGATCTCCCTGTTAGAAACTTCCACTTGTCCATTAGTTTGTGGATAATAAGTTGTGGCAACCTTATGCTTCACCCCATATTTCTTCGAGAGTTGCTCAAATTGCTTGCTCCCGAAGTGTGTCCCATCATCACTTATTATGGCTCTAGGGGCGCCAAAACATGTAAAAATGTTCTTCTTATGAAATTGCACCACAATTTTAGAGTCATTGGTGGATCGTGCAACTGTTTCCACCCATTTGGAGACATAGTCGACCACCACTAGAATGTACTGGTTTCCAAATGAGGATGGGAAGGGTCCTATTATGTCTATACCTCACACATCAAATAATTCAATTTCCATGATGTTATTTAGAGGCATCTCATGCCTCCTCGAGATATTCCCTGTCCGCTGGCATCTGTCGCATTGCAAAGCATATGCATGAGCATCCTTAAAAATGGTCGACTAGTAGAATCCTGATTGTAAAATCTTTGAAGTTGTCCTATTTCCGCCATAATGCCTGCCATAAGGTGATGAATGGCAATGATGCAGAATGCTCTCCATCTTCAAGGATGCATCTTATCAGAATCTGGTCGGCACATTGCTTGTACAAATATGACTCATCCCAATAATAGAACTTGACATCATGAAGAAACTTCCTCTTTTGCTGGCTAGAAAGTTCAGGTGGAAGTAGACCACTTACCAAGTAGTTCACCACATCAGCACACCGAGGTGTAGCCAATCGATTCACTCCGAACTATTGCTCATCTTGAAAAGCCTCCTTTATTGGCGCCTTGTCTCTCTGGGGGACCCCTTCCTCCAATCTGGACAAATGGTCTGCAACCTGTTTTTCAATCCACTTTTTGTCTCGGATTTCTAAATCAAACTCCTGGAGTAACAAGATCCATTTAATCAGTCTAGGCTTTGCATCCTCTGCCTATATTTTGCTTCCCGCGGCGCTTCCTTTTTTTTTAAAAATTCAAGTGCATTTTTCTTTAGGGCAACTAAGAACGCTGAGGTGGCTCCTACTCAGAGGTTGGGTCCAACTGACTAAGCACCAAATCCATTTTCTGCGCTCTTGTCCTAATTCTCTTGCAAAGTTATGCGCTAATGTCATCCATTAATTGCATGCTGTCATATTTTTGTTGTAGCGAATGCTGCAGCATTTATTCTCACAAAACCTGCAAATAGGAAACGACACCTCTTGGAAACTCGTTAGCAGTTTTCTTCAAAAATATCACAGAAACAACACAAATGAATCTCAACAGAGTGCACCACATGAACCAAAAGTTGAGCAAATAAAGCAGAAAATTAACAACTAAACTTTTGGATGAGCTAACTATAAGTCTAGAAATGCCTAAAATAACTCTAATTCTTAGAGTTATCAATCGTGTATTAATATGTGGACTGGTTTAAAATATATGAAATTTTTAGTATCTAAATTGGAGTTCTGTTTTGGCCTGCAACATTTCTATGATTTTTCTGTTCATAAAGAAGCCTTATATTGATATATAGACAGACACATGATTTATGTTACCGGCATTTTGAAGTAGTTTAGCGAGCAATACATTCAAGCTGTGATCAAGCTAAAAATAAACAAACAGATTAAGACGTACAATTTTTTTAGTTGATTACAACCGTAATGCATCAATTGTTCTTCCATCCGCCGCAGCAGGTTTCTTGCCTTTGTCCCATTTCTTACTATGCAATTTATAACAACAGGTTTTCTTAATTGTAATTAAGAAATAAACTAATCCTTCCTAAACATCTTCTAAACAAAAAAAAAAAAAAGTACAAACAGATAGCTACACTGAGAGCGAAAGGACGCCCCGCTGCAATTTACCCA